GTCTATGAGGAAGCCATAACAATTGAAGCAATGTGCAAATATTTAATTTGCCTACTTTAATGATGAGGAAGAAATTTGCAAACTTCCAATTTGCACGCTTCAATGATGAGGAAGAAAGGTGCAAATTTCTAAATTGCACACTTTCAAGAAACATCGTGCAAAATTAGATTTCGCTCCTAAACGTTCCTCTATGAGGAAGCAATGTGCAAATTGTTTTAATATACTAGAATATAACACTTTAAACTGTTGATGAAAATAGAATTAAAAATTTCTTGAAATTTTTAATTGCGTCTTTTTTAATTTTTATGATTTTACTCCTATAATCAAATTTTCAAACTGAAGTTGGAGGCAGAAGATGAGCTCCGATCGAGTCAAAACTTTTCAAATTTTTATTTTTAAACAAATTCGCATCGCTTCCACCTACGGGCGTTGTAAAATTAAAAAATTTTTTTTTTCTCTACACAAAATCGCTCCACCCTAATGTGTATCACATGAAAGGGACGGGGTGGCGTATCCGTGATTTGAAGTTCGCCTTCCCGTGTGTTCGTGGATGTGTTGAAAATAAGGCACGTTAGACAGTTGTCGATATATAATCGAATCTTTTTCCTTAAGGAGGGGAACCAATAATGGGATAAAATGCCCTGAACGGTTTTCTCAAATCCACAGTGAGACATATCATCATGGCAAAATTCGGATGATGTTAACTATCATGGATTCTGGGATCACTGTTGTGTTTCTGGAATAGTATGTACTGTGACACCGGTATATTGGAAATATGATTTATTGTAACTGAATACGGACATGCTTCTTCGGAAGGTAGTTCTCTACTGAACTTTTAGTCGCTAGCCTACCAACCTTACATACGCTTGTGTCGCTACGTACAATGGCGCTACTATCTATGTCCCTAGTTGTCGCGGTAATACAAACTCATATTCTACATTTCCTCCCGTCTTTCGCGATTACGACTTTCCCCTGGTACGAACCGTTGCGGTGCACGTCTTACGCGGGAAGACCTCCGTAGTGTTTGAGGTACTGACGGAGTACTCCTTTCACGAATTGGACTGGGTGGAGGGGATAAGGATTCGGATGAAACCGTGATGTATGATGAATCTGAACTATCGCTTGATGAGTCCTCTAACTCATTTGGTAGTGATGAGTTCTTTGAAGCATCTGTCTCTTCGTAGAAATGAATTCTTCTAGAATGCTTGGAATCCTTAACCTGTTCCTGTAACTTTTCCTGCTCTAGATCTTCCTTCGTCTCGCGTGCTCGTATCTGATCTACGTGTCGTTTGAATCGTTTTCCATTGTAATCGATTTCATAGTGTAGATCTCCTAAGCGTGTAACAATTGTTCCTGGTAACCATTTGTCCATACGCGGATTGCCTGATAGAAAATAAATCGTCTGTTGTTTTAAACTCTCGAAATGTGGCATTACTTTCATTCTGTTGTTTCTGCGTAATCTTTACATTTATTTCTTCTGGTCGGACTAAGTCAAGTCTTGTTCGGATTCCTCGTCCTAAGAATAGTTGTGCTGGCGATTGTTCTGTTGTAGCATGTGGTGCTTTTCTGTACTGGCTCAAGAATATGTTGAGATTGTGTTGCAAAGATCCTGGCGTCGTTACCATTGTTCTCAGTGCGTCCTTTACCGTTTGCACATACCGCTCCGCTTGCCCATTGGTTGCCGGATGGTACGGTGCTGTCAGTTTGTGAAACTTCACACCACTCTTCTGTAAGAACAACTTGAAGTCCATTGATGTAAATTGCGTTCCGTTGTCTGATACGACGGTGATTGGGGCTCCGTATGCTGCAAACAATTCTTCTAGAATGGCAATTGTTGCTGTTGTAGTTGTCGAACTCGTACTTCTAACCTCGAGCCATTTACTGTACGCATCAACGATGATTAAGAGCATTTTTCCTGAAACTGGTCCTGCGTAGTCAATATGTATCCGCTCCCAAGGACCTTTCGGATAATCCCAATGGTGACTACGATACTTCGGTGGGTCATGCGCATTTCTCGAACAATCGGCGCATGTCTTGGCTATTTTTTCAATCGCTGCGTCGATGCCTGGCCAGTAAACAAATGATCTTGCTAACCCCTTCATTTTCACTATTCCTAAATGTGCTGTATGTAATTCGTTAAGTATTTCTTCTCTTAGAACTGCAGGAATAACCACTCTATGCTCAAATACTAAGCAGTTGCTTCCTAGTTTGTAGTTTGCTTCTGGTGCTTTATATCCACAACGTTGTAAGTCTTGGCCTGATTTAAGGCATTGAATAATCTTTCCTAGATGTGGATCCGTTTGCGACTCGCGTGCAATTCTTTCCGCATTTACTGGTAGCTGCTTAATCTGGTGTAGAATGAAATGGTCAAACCCATCGTACTCAACTTCCTCTCTTTCCTTAACAGAGATTTTCTTCGTCGTAAGTGTCGGTACTGCTATTCTCGAACAATAATCGGCGTTGGTGTTTTCCCCTGTTGGCTTGAACGTGACATCGAAGTCAAAGTGTGCTAAGTAATCTGCGTAGTTAGCCATTCGGCTGATACAGAGAGTAGGTAGTGACTTCTCTGGATGGAGAATCTGCGTCAGAGGCTTATGGTCCGTAATGATTGTGAAATGTCGGGCATAGACATAATGAAAAAATTTTTGGACAGCCCATACTATTGCAAGTGCCTCTTTATCAATTTGTGGATAGCGCTGTTCGGTCAGACTTATGGTTCTGCTCGCGTACGCAATCGGTCGCTCCTGTCCATTGCTCAACCTATGTGATAGCACTGCGCCTAATCCAGTTTTGCTGGCATCAGTGGCAAGGATTAGCGGTCGTTCTGGATCATACGGCATCAACACCTGTGGCGAAACTAAAATGTTCTTTATATCTTCGAAAGCTTTCACCCCTGCTGTTGTCCATCTAAATGGTTTAACAAGTAGCATATCTCTGAGCGGATGATTTCTTGTGGACAGATCTGGAATGAACGAACTACGAGGTACGTCCAGAAAGTAAGGTTACAACAGGTGTGAAAAAAAAACAATGCATTATATTGTAATGAAATTTACAGGATATGTTTGAGAAAACATGTCTTTATTTTTCCACATAATCGCCGTCGAGGTCAACACATTTCTGAAGCCTGGGCACAAGCTTTTTGATGCCCTCGTCGAAGACGTTCCGCTCCACCTTTCGAAGCCACGTTTCCACTGCCTCTGTCACCTCCTTGTCACTTGAAAATTGCTGCCCACCCAAAAACTCCTTCAATTTAGTGAACAGATGATAATCCGAGGACGCTAGATCCGGGGAGTAGGGGGGTGATTGACAACATCCCATCCAAACGACACACGAGCAGATTCTGATCTGATTCAGATGGAGCTCAAGGTGGAGCGGAACGTCTTCGACGAGGGCATCAAAAAGCTTGTGCCCAGGCTTCAGAAATGTGTTGACCTCGACGGCGATTATGTGGAAAAATAAAGACATGTTTTCTCAAACATATCCTGTAAATTCATTACAATATAATACATTGTTTTTTTCACACCTGTTGTAACCTTACTTTCTGGACGTACCTCGTATAGTAAGTAGCCTTACCGAGAAATAATTGCAAACCTTCTGGTGTGTTTGGCTTCGGCATCCTTTGAATCGCCTGTATATGTCGATCTGATTTGTGTATTCCATTCGCGTCTATTTTATGTCCTAGAAATTCAATGGCTGATGTCGCGAATACGCATTTCTCTTTGTTTAAGTGCAAGCCGTGTTCTCTAAACCTTTCCAGTACTTCGTCCAAAATTTGTAGTAGGCTTTCGAAATCCTCTGCGAAAATGATGAAATCATCGTAGAAATTTCGGACATTCCGAAGGTCTTTAATAACTGCTTCCATTCTGCGCTGCCAAATTGCTGGAATGCTTGCTGCTCCATAAACTGCTCGTGTCGGTCGGATTAACCCATGAGTTGGTGTATTCAATGTCAACATGTGACTGGATTCCTCATCAAGGATTAAATGGGAGTATGCATCTGAGATATCCAGTAGACAGAAGATTTTGGCACCCTTCAACTGACTGAAGATATGCTCCGGTTTCGGGATGGGGTATTCGTCTATAACTAAACAAGAATTTACTGACGGTTTATAGTTTCCCGTGATTCGCAAATGACCGTTCTTTTTAACTACTACATGCGTCGTTGAAGCCCATTCGGAGTAATCAACCCTCTTATACAAACCTGACTTCAATTTTTCATCGATCTCTTTCGCGTATGTATCTCGAAGTGCTAATGGTATTTCTCTGGCTTTCGCAAACACTGGTTTCGTATTCGGCTTTCTGTGTAATGAGATCGGCGGCCCTATAAGCGTACCTGCTTTCGAACTAAAATTTTCTTTATACTTCGCTAACAATTGATTTACTCGAGCTGCTTGGTCTTGTGTTATACTAGAAGCTATGGTACTGATGGTATGAATCGTATTCGTAGTGGAAAACAGTTTAACAAAGTTAATCTCGTGTACAAATTGAGATATCCATTCTCTGCCAAACAGTGCATCATACTGTCCTTTTACTATGAATAAATTGAGTTCGCGTGTTGTGTTACCTACTGTAACCTTGACTGGAATGCGACCAATACATTGAATAGGGTGACCTGTATAGCTAACATATTGCCTGTCAGTTTTTTCTAACACGAATCTCGGCCTAATTTTCCGGAGTGTTTTTATGTTAATAATACCGCACGGTGCACCCGAATCAATCTCCATTTGTACACGTTTGCCCTCTATTGTAACATCGATCATGAGATTTTTAACTGAATTTACTGTGTTTACTCTGTTCTGGCTTCGGATTGTATCTACGTGTTCCGCTGGCTGTAATGCTGCGATCGTTCGTGTTTCTCCGCGAGAATCTTTAGATTTACATACTTTCGCTAAGTGACCTCTTTTATTACACGTATGGCATATTGTATCACGAAAACGGCACTGCTTCCTTGTATGCTGACCACCGCAACCGTAACAGGAGTAGTCTTCCTTCCTCCCTTTCGTACTCGGTTGTTTCGATGCGTCCTGGTGCTTCTGCTGCTGATTCTGCCCTCGAGATGATGAACGATGACGCTGTGTCTTCTTCTCGTGCTTCCATTTAGGTGTACCGTAACCTAACTTATGCGTTGTATCCTGCGTGGCTGCGTTGAACTCCTTCACCTCGTTCGTCGTTTTCCGCGTTGCTTCCAGTGCATTGGCAATGTCGTATGCTTCTGCGAAAGTAGCTGGATTCTTGGCGACGATTTCGTCACACGTTTCGCGTGCTGCTAGTCCATGCAGAAGTTGCTCTGTCAGCATTCGGTCGAGAAACTCACCGAACTCACAATGAGCTGCGCCCTGGCGAAGACGTAGTGCGAAACTAGCAATTGTCTCTCCGCTCTGCTGCGTAATATGACGGAATTTAATACTTTCCGCATATTTGTTTCGAGCTCTATCGAAATGGGAAATCAGTGTTGACTTCAGTTCCTCGTATGAAAGCTTTTCCGGAATCCTCGGATTAACTAGGAACTTCAGAGCGTTATTCAATTCCGAACCCATATGCACACGGGCGTAATTTGCGTGTTGATTATCCGGAATTTTGCTCAGCTGTAGTGCCCACTCAAACCTCTTAAAGTAGTCGGCTACGAGTGTGTGTTCCGTCGAACGATATTCCGTGACTGCGAAAGGCGGTGGACGTAACTGTATTGCTGACGTCGTTGTGGCCCCTGTGCTGCCCGCTTAGGTCCCCATGCTCACGGCCGTTGCTTGTATCGCGTTCGCCATCATGGCCGATATCGCTTGCAGCAATTCCGGCGATACTTGCGTCGGTGAGGCCATCCTTGCTCTTCCGTATGTCGCGTATTCTCTCTTCACCCGATGTCTCTTCAATCCCGCTTCTGACACCACTGTTGTGTTTCTGGAATAGTATGTACTGTGACACCGGTATATTGGATATATGATTTATTGTAATTGAATACGGACATGCTTCTTCGGAAGGTAGTTCTCTACTGAACTTTTAGTCGCTAGCCTACCAACCTTACATACGCTTGTGTCGCTACGTACAATGGCGCTACTATCTATGTCCCTAGTTGTCGCGGTAATACAAACTCATATTCTACAATCACAAAAAGTGAGTTGTTAAGGTATTTTCGAAAAATAAGCCCGTCAATAAGCTCGTATTTTTCGTTGTCTCGAGTTTCGAGCGACTGAGCTAAGGATTGTAAATTCGGATCTTGTAATTGTCTGAATTGCAATTCCTTTTCCAATGGAAAAGATTCCACGAGTGCTACGGCACGGCTAAGAGCGTCGACGTGTTGCATCCGACGTCCCTCGCGATGAACAACGTGAAAGTTATAGTCCTGTAATTTCAGGGTCCACCTGACTATACGTGGATTTAGGTTTGCTTTTTTAATTGCAAAAATATGAGCTTGACAGTCTGTAACGATCGTAAATTCTAACCCATAGAGATAAATATGAAATCTCTCAATCGCTCTCACCACTGCGAGCATTTCCAGCTCAAAGCTGTGGCATTTTGCTTCTGCTTGGTTTGTGGCCTGGCTGAAAAACGATACTGGTAGCCATTGGCCTTCTTTTTGCTTCTGCATAAGGATTGCAGCTATTGCTTGTGCGCTAGCATCCGTATGTAACTCGGTAGGCAAATTTGGACTGTATAGCCGGAGAATTGGAAAGGAAATGAGCCGTTTTTTCAATGTATTAAATGAATTTATGCAAATGTCGTTAAACCTAAAAGGTGAATCTTTTTTCAAAAGATTATGTAGAGGTCTTGCTATTGTAGCGTAGTTTTCAATAAATTTGCGGAACTAATTAGTAAGACCCAGGAATTCCTACAAATGGATCACGAGACACGGTAGTGTCTCGCGCCAAGTGTAAGCGAAGCTAGTACCACGCGCGCGAGACCGACCGTGTAAGTTTACGCGAGTACACGACTTGACGGGCCCTCAGATATTTGGATCTCAACAATGGCTGATCCCACGAACTTGAGACTGCGCTTAATCGACAGCTTGGGTACGATTTGCATAATAAAACTATTTTTACTTTTTTCCTACGTGCCCCATGAGTAGAGATATTGCGATGCAAAGTCCACGGGTCAGAATTTTCACGTAATTTTTTTTAAGAAACGTCGTCGTCGTCGTCGTGGTCAACCAGGCC